CTCCATCCACTGAGCCAAACCGGTTTTGGCGGACCCCTAGATTCTTACGCTGGAGGGTTCTTCAGTGAGATGGCTGGTGCCTCACCCAGGATCCCAGAGCGAAGCCGCCGCTCACGGAAGCGCTGCCCACACACTCCGAGTCTCCCATTCGGATCCTTGCTTTCTCTCTTGAATGGGGTCAGGGAACATCTGAGGAGACCCTCCCGCATGAATGACAGCAAATAAAACAAACTGAAAAAAGACTCCAAAGGAAAATACAGAGGAAAAGACCTAAGTCAGAATATGGGGAAGGAAACACTCCCAAACCCGTAGAAATGGGCTGTTGCACTCAGGAAACAAGTACGGGTGCAACAAAGCAAAAAGGAACAACCAAAGAATCAGAAAGAGGCCTTGGGGATTACAAATGCAGTGGCTGAAATAAAACATTCAGTAGAAGGTTTGGAAGATAAAGTCAGTGAAATCAGCCAGGGAATAGAACCAAAAAGACATGAGGTGGAAAATAAGAGAGAAATGATAAGGCACTTAGAGGATCAACTCAAGAAGACCAGTTTTTGATGAATAGGAGATGGAGAAAGCAAAGAGAGAAATGAGAGAAGAAATTGTCCAAGAAACCCTAAGCCAAGATGTGTTAGACTGGGAGGACCTGAGACTGCAGGTGAAAGCACCTCAAATGCCCAACCGAATCAATGAAAGACAATCCAAGCCAAGGCACCTCACTGAGAAAAGTTCAGAACATCCGCGATAAAAGGGAAAACCACTCCTTACGCAGAAGAATGAGAATGCCAGTGGCAGTGCTGGGTGGAAGAAGACAAGAAGGTTCAGGCTTCCAAATTCTGCAGGAAGCGATTATTAATCAAATTCTCTTAGCTCAGCCAAGTTAGCAGTTATAGGTGAGGGTAGCATAGAGATGTTTTCAGACAAGACTCAGAAAGTGCCCCTTTGTAAATCCTTACTTGTGGAAGCTCTGTTGCTGCCTAGTGAGGAAGTGGCCAAGAAAGAAAGCACAGAACAAAAAGCAAGGGCTCCACCTCAGGGAGGCTGAGAGGCGGGTCCTGGTGGGGGGATGGACAGGAGACCTAGGCAGCAAGCATTTGAGATGAGAGAAGAAGGTGAGATGGTGTCTGGGACGGGGGTGTTCCTTGGAAAAAGATACCTGCTGTATCATCTGGTGTAATAAAAAGCTCTCGGTTAAAAAGAGAAATATTTGAGAGAAGTTTGGGATTTCAGAGATCTACTTAGAAAGTTAGGAAATGTACTTCTTAGAATTGGTGGGAACATCACCCTATTTGGGTTTTCAGTGAGCCATGTTTACACTGCTCACTGCTTTAACCACAAATTGTGGGTGATGTATATTGTGTGGATGAGGGGAGGGAAAGTATGGGTGTGTCCCTGTTTGGGAAATATAAATGCTACATACTCATGTGCTAAAAAAGAAAGGCAGTAGTTAATGTCTAGAATTGATAAGTCAAGAATTGGCAGCATTATTCAGACAAACATAAACACATGAAGGAACAGCGGAAATAACTGAAAACGGCGGCCTGAGGGCACGGACCAGGGTGGGGTCAGTTGGGATATGAAGTGGCTTGGAGAATTGCTGTGTTTTATAAGGTTGGGTTTATGATGCGTGTTGAACATACGTATGTTGCTTTGATGTAAACAAAGGGGGTGGGGAAACACACACACAACCTTTTTGGAGCTTAAAAATGGGACAGAAATTGGAGATTTGGGGCCCCACACCTGCTCTCTCGTGGAGACACAGGGTGAAGACATGACCATGTCCTGCCCAGTTGCCTCTAGGAAGACCAGATGGAAGTGTGGCCCAGGACGGCCCAGCATCCTCTTATCTTTGCAGAAAGCTTGAGTTTACAAATTGTTCCACATATTTCAACCCATCTGACCTTACCACAGCATGCTGAGGGTAACTATTGCCCTTTCTAGTTGCAGATGCTGAGATGGGAGTGGCCACGCTGGCCCACCCCACCCCACCCCACCCGGCTCAGCTGGCCCTGCTGCACAGTCACAGACGCCCTTCTCCTCCCCAGGAAGTGGCACTGTCACCTAACGCTATTCTGTCCCCTGGACATTTTAGAGGAAAGAGGAAGAGGAGCGGAAGCGAGGAGAAGAGCAGATCCGCCGCCAGGAGGAGCAGAGGGCCAGGGAGCTGTACTGGACGCTGAAGCAGGCCCAACTGCAGAGCCAGGCCAGCGAGAAGGAGGAGCGCGAGTGGGAGGAGCAGCGTGAGTAGAGCTTGGTCCTCAGGGGCCAGACCCGCCTGCCTACCCCACCCTCTCCTCCCACTTGTTTATTTGCTCAGCCTCAGTCCAGTTACTCACTCAGCCAGAGGTCTTACCCAGCCCAACCCGGTGCCTGTCCTGCTAAGGAGAGAGGGAAAGGGCTGGCCCACAAGGAGCTTGCCCTAAAGCAGTGGTCGGCAAACTCATTAGTCAGCAGAGCCAAATATCAACAGTACAACGATTGAAATTTCTTTTGAGAGCCAAATTTTTTAAACTTAAACTATATAGGTAGGTACATTGTTATTAACTTAATTAGGGTACTCCTAAGGCTTAGGAAGAGCCACACTCAAGGGGCCAAAGAGCCGCATGTGGCTCGCGAGCCATAGTTTGCTGACCACGGCTCTAGGGGGATTTCTTGCTCCGAAACAGAAAGCCCTATACTTCCTGAATTACCGATAATTCCCTGGCTCTGTGCTCAGTCCTGGGGACCCAGAGATAAGGGATCAGAGTGTTATCTCAGAGGCAGACACACAGGCTAAGGGCTCTGAGGGAGTGTCCTGTGCAGCACTGTAAAGCGAGGCTTGATGGTGGCGTAGGAATAGCTGAGGCAGAGGCCGGAGAGGACGCTGTAGAGGGGGTAGCCAGCATGTGTGACAGCATAAAGGCATGTGGTGTGCTGAGGCAGTGGGAGCTGTCTGGGGCGGATATGCAGCTTGGAGAGTGCTGGGTGCTGAGAAGGTAGATGGGACAGGGAGGTGGCGTCAGGATGGAGGCGGTGTTTGATGTGCACCTGGGCTTGCTGCAGTCAGGGCTGGTGGGACCTGCAGACACGGAAATGACTGTCTTGCAGGGAGAAGTTTTTACTCCTGGTTCCTAGAAACAGAGGGATTGCCACTCAAGGCCACACAGGGAAGGCCCAGGCTTGGTCAGGAGGCAGAGGGAGTGAAAGGAAATGTGGGCAAGAGCCTGTGTGTGGATTCCGTGGGAAGGGAGAGGAAAGGCAAGCAGGCTTAGGCTTGGCTGGTTTAAATAGTTTCCGCAGGCTTTGGGATAAGGAGCTGTCTCCAGTGGCTGATACCTGGCCCTGGGGGTAATATTAGGGCAGATGGATCATGACCCAGAGTGTAAGAACTAGCTACAGGAAGTGGTGGGGGTTGGTTTGCATGTGGAAGGCACACCTGTAAGCCAGTCCTTTATAATCCTTAGTGTTGTAAGTGTTTCCCTCCATGTCCTGCGTGGTTCAGGGTTCGGGTCTGGAAGAGGAGCCGCACACAAATGAAAAAGAAAAGACACGAGATAATTTGGGAATATTGGGGGACCAGGCGGCAAGTCCAACTCAAGACGGACTTCCACTGTGCTCAGGCCTCACCAAGCTTTTTATAGTGAGCGGTAAACAAGGTAGTGGTTACCAAAGCTACACTGTTCTTGTGTTTCACTTGTTTACACCACGGTTATACTTCCTGCACGTCCTCAGCCCATTAGATTCCCAGATAAGATCTAGGGATTGTTATAAGGTCAAGCCTAATTATGCTAAGAGGACTGAGCCCTCTAAGCTGGGTCTTGTTTGTGACTTTGCCAACAGGTCAGTCCGGGCCTTGCTGAGGCCACAGAGAAAGATCCCAAGGCAATCTGAGCCTTTATTTTTATAGTCAGAGGTAAACAAGGTAGTGGTTACCAAAGTTACACTATTCTTGTGAGTTTCACTTGTTTTTGTTCTTGTGAGTTTCACTTGTTTTTGTTCTTGTGAGTTTCACTTGTTTACACCATGGTTATACTTCCTGCACGTCCTCAGCCCATTAGTTTCCCAGATAAGATCTAGGGAGTGTTATAAGGTCAAGCCTAATTATGCTAAGAGGACTGTGCCCTCTAAGCTAGGACTTGTTTGTGACTTTGCCAGCAGGTCAGTCCTAGGCTTAACCCTATATCAGCTTCCCACACCTTAGGAACTGGCTGGCTCTGGGAGGGGTGGTCCCAGATGTCAAACATAGAAATACAGAAAATAGAAAGGCATGTTACGCAGGTGCGCAGTAGGAAGCTTCTAAAGGTGAGTGTCGTGACTGAGGCCGGGCGTGGGAATGAGAGGGGAGGCGGCTGCAGTGGTGCACTTCAGAGACCACTGAACCAAGGCCTCAGCAGGGGGAGCAGAGATGGGAGGTGACGTCTGCTCCCAGGCCTCTGGTCCTCAGCCTTTCTTAACCACATGTCAGATTCATCACAGACTTTTAAAAAACATCCCTTTAAAGTGTACAGTTGAGTGGGTCACAGTCTACTTACACAGTTGTGCAACCATCACTGTTATCTAATTCCAGAGCATTCTCATTGCCACAAAAAGAAGCTCTGTACCCACTGGTTCCTCCTCCTGCCACACCTCAGGAAACCACACATCTACCACGAATCTAATTTCTGTCCCTCTGGGTTTGTCTATTTTGGATATCCTATATAATAAAATCCTAATATGCTAAGTGTCTGGTCGTCCAGTCATCCATTCAACCAATTAAAGAGTAATATGCTAATGACATGCTAAGGCTGCTTAACTGCTTGCTATCACGTGCACTAACCACCATGGGGTAGACAGTTGACCAGTCACTATAATGTGCACTGACCACTAGGGGGTAGATGTTCCGACTGGTATGTTAGCTTGCTGCTGAGGTCTGACTGATTGGGACTGAGAGAGATGGGCCGGACATGCCCTGGAGCCCTCCCATGGCCCCTCCCCAGCTGGCCAACCTCCCGCATCCCTCCCCGTCCCCAATCGTGCACCAGTGGGTGTCCCTTGGCCTGGCCTGTGCCCTCTCAAAATCTGGGACCCCTTGGGGGATGTCGGAGAGCCAGTTTCGACCTGATCCTGCAGACCAGGCCGAGGGACACCACTGGTGCACAAGTTCGTGTACCAGGCCTCTAGTTTCATATAAATAGAATCATATATTACGTAGTCTTTTGTGTCTGATTTCTTTCATTTAGCAAATGTTCAGGGTCCACCATATTATATCGACTTGTAATTTTTTTTCTTGTATTGTCTCTATTTGGCTTTGATATGAGAATAATACTGGCCTCCTAAAATGAATTTGTAAGAGTTTGAGAAGGACATTTAAATGTGCAGTAGAAATGATCAGTAAAGCAATATGGTCCTAACTTTTCTTTCTTGGGAGATTTTTGATTACTGATTCAACTTTCTTACTAGTAATTATCCTGTTCAGATTTTTTATTTCTTAATGATTCAGTCTTGATAGGTTGTATGTATCTAGAAATTTATCCATTTCTTGTAGGTTTTCTAATTTGATGGTGAATATTCATAGTTGTTTCTTTTGATCCTTAATATTTTTATGGCATCAGTTGTTTCCTCTTTCATTTCTGATTTTATTTATTTGTCTTGTCTTGTCTCTTTTTTCCCCCTTAGTCTGACTGAAAGCTTTTCATTTTGATTCATCTTTTCAAAAAACCAGTTCTTAGTTTTATTGATCTTTTCTATTGTTTTTCTAGTGTATAGCTCATTTCTGCTCTGATTTTATTCTTTTCTTCCTTCCGATAACTTTGAACTCAGTTTGTTCTTCTTCTAGTTCTTTAAGGTACCAAGTTAGGTTGATAGAGATCCTTTCTTCTTAGAATAGCTTTTTCTGCATTCCATGTTTTGATATATTATGTTTCCATTTTCATTAATTTCAAGATTTTTTTTATTTCCTTTTTGACTTCTTTGACCATTTCTTGTTCAGAAGTGTGTTGTTTAATTTCCACATATTTTTGAATTATTCAGTATTCTTCCTATTCCTGATTTTAGGTTCACACTATTGTGATCAGAAAATATATTGATATGATTCCAATCTTTTTAAAAATTTTAAGACTTATTTTTGGACCTAACCTATGACCTATCCTGGAGAATGTTCCATGTGAGTTTGAGAAGAATGCATATTCTGCTACTGTTGAGTGAAATATTTTGTGCATGTCTGTTGGTTCATTTGGTCTTAAGTGAAGTTATATCCAATGTTTTCTTATTGATTTTTCTGATTGAACAATCTACTCATTATTAAAAGTGGGTATTGGCATCACCTATTATTATTGTATTGCTGATTATTTCTCCCTTCATAATCAGCAGTGCAATAATCCTGAGATAATATTTACTTTATATATTTAATTGGCATATGTATTTATGATTGTTATATCTTCTTAATGAATTGACCCCCTTATCATTATCTAATGATCTTCTTTTCTCTTGTTACCATTTTCTTAAAATATATTTTTATTGATTTTAGAGAGGAAGGGAGAGGGGAGAGAAAGATAGAAACATCAACAATAAGAGAGAATCATTGATTGGCTGCCTGTTGCACGCCCCCCACGGGGGATCAAGCCTGTAACCTGGGCATGTGCCCTTGACCGCAATAGAACCAAAGAACCCTCAGTCCGCAAGCCAATGCTCCATCTACTGAGCCAAACCAGCCAGGGCCTCACCATTTTTGGCTTCATGTTTATTTTGTCTGATACAAGTTCAGCTACCCCTGCTCTCATTTTATTTCCACTTGCATGGGATATCTTTTTCCATCAAGAAAGGTGAGCATTTGGAAAGGCCTGTGGAGGAAATGACATTTGGTTTGGGAAAAGTGGGGAGGCAGAGAAGGCAGGGAAGGGCATTATAGCAGAGGGAACAGCACCAAGCAAAAACAAGGTCATTGTGTGTATAGGACATGGCACATGTTTAATGTGGCTGCAGCCTGAAGTGCAATGATGAAAATGAGGCTGGAAAGAGAAGATGGTCAAGAGCTAAGAATAATTCATTCATTTAAATTCAGAATAGAAGGGAAAGAAGGGCAGAGGTTGTACTAAAAAATAATGGACAATTACAAGTGGAGTTACATGAGGCTACGATGGTGGGGGAAGGAGATCCGGACTGGCAGTCGGGTCCTCGCTTTGCCCGTTACTAGCGTGACTGTAGGCAGGTTCTTGCTCAGTTTCTCAGTGTCTTCATGGTAAATGGGGTCATCATTTTGAGTTGAGCCTGTGGAGAGGGTGAA